GTAGGAGGAGGTCTCAGTCCTGGGAACAGTGTGACTTGCATTTAAAGTCGTGCATCAAGAAGTATTTACCATGATCCGCACTAGGTAGGCGTCCGGGTTCATGTTTTAACTTTTTGTCTAACCTCGTTGGATTCAATTCGGTTTTCTGAATCCATCACTTTGACATAATTCATGTCCCATTTTTTCACATTTAAAAAAAAAAGCCTGTACTAACTTACACGTAGGTTTACTTTCTCGTTTTCTTTGCATTGCATAATTTAAATGGCATGTTTTCATTTGTTGGCTTTTAATTAGATAAGGAGCCTCTAGAAAATACAGTTGGCACCTAAAATTGAAGAAGGGAAGAAACTACCTGTTTGTTAAACTCTTGCTTTATGTGACTTATTCCATTAAATCCCAGTAGCAATCCTAAGAAGTAAGTAATAGGATCTGCATTTTAGAGAAGAGATGGGACCTCAGAGGGTGTGAGACACACCTAGAAAAGGCATTTTGTAGCCTGAACCCAAGTTTGTCTGGCTTCAGGCCCAGCGCCCTTCCTAGGACAGATGCTCAACTTGTATTTCCAAATTTGATGTTTCCAAGTTGATTAACAAATCAGCCTCCTCTTATATTTTTTGAAAATATGTTTTTATTAATTTTTTTTAGAGCGAGAGGAAGGGAGAGGGATAGAAATGTCAATGATGAGAGAGAGTCATCTACCGGCTGCTTCCTGCATGCCCCCCCTGGGGATCAAGCTCACAACCCGGACATGTACCACGACATCCTGGTTCATATGTGGAAGCTCAACCACTGAGCCATGCCAGCCGGGCAACCTCCTTTTATTTTTGTTCTGTTATTGAGCATCTACTTCGTGTCTTACTTTTTTCACACAGGTGATACGAGCCCATGAAGTTCATATTTTCTTTCAGCTGAAGCTGAAGATATTTACTCAACATGTTTACCCACAGCGCCCAAGGTCACAAAGCTAGGAAACTGGAGAACTGGGACCTGGGTCTGCCCAGTACCCTGACTTCCCTGCTGGGGCCCACATGCTCTTTGAGCCTGGAGTCCTTTATCTCTGTCCAACCTGTTGGCTTTTCTGATTGCTCTCTCAGGGTCCCCCTGTCCTCTTTTGACTATTTCCCTGGGCTCTACTCTGCCTTAACTTGTACATGTTCCTTTAGGACTCAGTCCCAGTTAATGATCTGATTCCATCAAATATGAATGTATATGATGTCCTTTGAAGGCCTAGGGAACTGAGCATAATAGCTTTGGTCCACTAACCTCAGGAGGCCATAGAACTTACAGATTTTGCT